ACAAAGCCAGGCGGTTGTACCATGTATACCTCATCATCAAGAGGCCCTTGCAAAAAGGCATTGTTGACGTCAAACTGCTTAATGGCCCAATTCTGTGAGAGAGCAATGGAGAAGACAGTGCGGACCGTGACAGGTTTGACCACTGGGCTGAAAGTGTCGTGAAAATCCACACCAGGGCGTTGGTGGATCCACACCATCAAGATCTTTTCTCTCCAAAATTCTCTCCTTCCTAACATGGTATCAGAGCCTAGAACCAAAAGGTCATGTGTTTGAATCTCCACGACCCCCAATATTAATCGTTGTCTTTCAAGCACATGGTATAGTGGGCCTGTGCAAACTTCAAGCCCATGGGTTGACTTTCGTTTGAGGGGGCGTGTTAGAGAGTGGTATAAGATCCAACATAACCTTCTCCCAACAACTCGAGTTATTGGGACCAACTGGTTTATGACAATATATTCATATGGGTTGCATTCTTTAATTATGACTTTTTATTGACTTACCTATGGTTTATATATATATTGATTTTTCATCACTATATGTCCATTTCTAAAATGGTTAAGTCAATTTATTAATAGTTGAAAACTAGGAAGCAGCCTGTCTTCCCCCGAAATGGGTTCACACTTGCACATTTTATATATAATAAAGAAAACATCATTTAATTAGATTACATGAAGAACTAATTAAAGCTGCGACGCCGCTAATGCTGAATATATGGATGGTTGTGGAATTATTAGTTAGTTTGGGGTTACTGTCTGTTTAGGAATTTGTGGACTAGCTAGGTGTGATATTGTCTGCTCGTAGACAATTCTGAACCAAGCAACTGTGAACAAATTAGTGTATTTTCTTGTTTGTTTGTTTGTTTGCTTGGTTTTTTTTTTTTTCATGGGTCCTTCTCGGATTCTTGTGCTCATGCCATAATAATACCTTCTTTTTTTTGTTTTCGGTTGAAGTCTTGAAGAGGAAGGCATAATATATAGGGCAAGTGCGTCTTAATTATGACTTATTATTTGGTTAACTTAGCTTTTTGTTCACATTTACAGCGGTTTATCATTTGTTTTTGGTAACTTCCTATCGATTGTAGGTCGGAGTCGGATGAATAAAACCGACGACTGGCTGCCAATCTACATAGTGCACATGGCGGCTATTTGTGTACTGCTATACATAGAATCAAATAATTGAAAAAAATTGACCGATCTGAACCGGAAAAGAAACTAATATACCAAATTCACGTTTTGGTATGCTACTTTATTAGCCCCAAATTCATTGGGGAGGGATTATTTGTAATAGCTTTGGAATTTTCATTCCAATAGTAACATGTTATTATTTGTGATATACATGTAATATTTTTGTTCATGAGATATTTGGTCATGACAATACTGCTTTTTTTAGTTAATCAAGTTTATCTATTTTGTGCATAATCTTATTTCAGATGTAGCTTCGTATTTTCCAACGTCACAAATTACATTACAAAAATAAGGTCGTAATTATGTACTCCGTCATTCATTTACTATCATGTTAAAGACATATGTGTGACACTAGGATAATAACAGGGGTATTATATCCATCATGTTAATTAATTGTCTGTCCTTGTGGTGGATAACATCCTTACGCGCCGTATGTGGTAGGTAATTACCACCCTTGTGCATGTCTTTCACTGTCATGATCGAGTTATTTACATGCTACTAAAAGGAAGCCACTGTGGAAATGTTTGTTTTTGTTTCAAAGTATACTAAGTACAAGTAACACTAATCTTTATGGGAATATATTGAAATCTGTTTGATAAATTATTCACCTTTTAACTCTTAGTTATTTCAAAGGAATGTATGAACAAATCATTGAACTTATTGTTAGTTGTCTAAGAAAACTCAAAGCTTGATCTGAGTACCGACGTTTCGGTTAGTTTTTAACTTTTTATACAACTGACCACTCTGTCCCTCAAAACAATTTATATATGGACCCCCAATTTTATTCCAGTTTTAACTTTTAATTCGTCCCCAGCCTGGCAGTGGCGAACTTTTACCTTGCTCTTTCCTCCTCCTTGCGTATGTCGTCGATCAATTCACAGGCGCGTCCCCAATCCCTATATATATATGGCCCGTCGTGTACCCAAAATCAGTTCTAACATCAATATTGAAGTAATAAAGTAGGCTAATATTTATTTACATACGTTCATCTTACAGCTATATATGGTCATCCCTAGCTTCCAACGGCGGCGTTGGGGACACGTGGACGGAGCACCACCAATTGGCAGCGGAGAAGCGGACCGGAAGAAGGGTGTTGAGGAGAGCCGCCGTGGAGGATCATGGTCAAGTCTGCTACGTGGAGGGCGCTTGCTGCCGTAAGTACTGTCCGACGAAGTCAGAAATGATAGGCTAAACAATCTACATTTGAGGGATTTGAACCATGATCATTGAAAAGAGGTTAGTTTCTCACCAATTAATATGTTTCTAAGATTTTGTAACAAATTTTAAATGTAAATTTGCCTACATTTGAAAGTTGAGGAGGGTATAGCCTCCTCTAGACTTGGTGATCGTGGCTCTTATGGCAAAGATTAAAAATACTTAACAAACTCTTTTTTTTCTAACAACTCGAGTTAGTAGAACTAAGTGAGTTGTTCGTTGATAGTATGGTATCAGAGCAAGAAGTCGTGGTTTCGAATCATTATTGTGATGATCCCAACATAAACAATAACGGTTTAGCACAAGGGATGATATGATCAACTTGTGCAAACTGGTAGCCTAATAATGATTAAACAATGACACAAGAGTAGATAACAAATCAAACTCAAATTATTAAAAATAAATCTGTTCGTTAATATGCTTGGTCCTTCCTTGTGGAAATAATTGGACACCGTAGATGGATGTAAAGCGCGCAGGATGAGTGGGCATGGCTTGTTTGCTCAGAAGGCGTGGACCTGAGTTGAGTTGTAAGAAAATAAGTGGTTGTGGTTCACATGTTTCTTTCTATGGGACCGATCGAGGAGGGAAAGCGAATCATATATCTTCTTTTGTTTGGATGCGATGATATATCCGCGTGGTTTTTGGCCAAGGGGCTGAAATTAGTCCATCTGTGTTACGTTGGTTCCTGGCCTTTCGAAACCTTGTCCTATGTCCTTGGAACTAGGAGGGAAAGCGATCTGTGCTCATATACTATATATATAATTTTTCGTTTGGAGTTGTGCATGTGGTGTTTTAAGGGAATGTGAGGGAAGAGTTTATGGTGTCCCAGACTTTATCCAGATATATTTATTTGTGTACGACTCAAATTAGTTGATCTAAATTGGATCACTTGATTCACTAACAATAAAAATTTGAAAGCATTAAAAAATGCGTATCGATATCTATTTGGATCCGATCAAATATCCAAATGGGTCAAGGCAATTGGATTAAATTATCCAATGAGTCGATCGGCCATTAACATTCTTACTAAATATAATGATCATCGTGGTGGCCGGCATCATAGCGGAACCTCAAACGTTCAGCTGTTTCAATATTGGTTGCTTTGTAGGGTGCTTTTCAGGTAGGTGTTTATTGGCAAGGTGGTACCAAGGTCATGATAGGTAGAGTCAATCAACGAGAGCATCCCAAGATGTCTTAGAGGTGGTGCGATTATGGGCAAATCCCGACCATTTCAATTTGTTGGAGCTCCAAGCCACAATCTACGATGCTCAGCCTATGGGGCGGAGCTAGGATTTAGTTTTCGGGGGGCCGGAATCCAGTTAAAATAAAGGACGAAAAATACTAATAAATAAATATTTGAAAAAATTAATTATACACACAATAATTTTCATATTAAATTCAATATAAATTAGAATAATATGAAGAAATTAAAAACACATTTCAATTTTGTGTGGTACATTTAAATTAAACTCTACGAATATTATTATCCAAAAGTACTCATTATATATCTGAAAGTAACTTTAGAATTGATAATTTTAATTGATATAATATTAAATTAAAATTTAATGAACCAAAATATGAGGGGGAAAGAAAATTGTATACCGTAGCTTTAAATAGGGTGAAAGAATTGACCATCTACTTAAGTGAAAAATGTAAAGAAAATATAAAAGTTGCTTTCCAAAGGGATTGAACCCTCGCTCAGCCACCCAATAGAGCACAAATATAGTTTCCTTCTGCTGGACTACATCTGTTTTCCTTTTATAATTTCTCATGGCAGTGGTTATTTGTACATTCCTTTTAATTTATACGAATAGTCTCGAACTTTTTACACGTAACTTTCAAAATTCTTGGGTGGGGGGGGGGCGAGGACTAAGCTAGCTCCGCCCCTGCTATGGGGGCAGGGAAACCAATAATGTAGCTCGTTTAGTGGCCTCACAACCGTGTTTCAAAATACGATTTTCGAAACTGCCTTTCATCAAGCATGTATAGTTGTAGTTGTGATGCTTTGGTTGCTAAAGTGAATAGTAGTTAATGAACTGTTCAGATTAATTCACTATTTTAATAATCTAAGTAATGACACATATTAATTTTGTTTGTGTGGTAGTCGAGGACCCTAATATAGTTTCCCCACCACGACATAGATCAATTAGGCATATTAGCCGACACTCTCAAAGACTGAAATATAAGCAAAACATCCCAAAAAAAGGCTTAAAGGGTCACCACCATAATGACTGCCCCACAAGACCAAAAATTTGATTCTTTTTTCTTTTGATTGTAACTTGGGCTCCTTCTCTTCCCTTCCCTTTACTTTCCTCTTCTGTCACTCTTCCGGCCGGGTACTTATCATGGGACAAGTACAGTATTGATCACTAAATTTAAGGACTCTCAACAGATTGGTCACCATACTCTTAATCCATATCGCACTTTAGTGACCATACATGTAATTGACCCTCTCTTTTCACCCCAAAAAGGATAAAAAGCGTTGAAGGACAGTCACCCTGTTCTCGCCAACCAAGCAATATTTGGGCCCCACTTTTACAGGTTGGCACAACGCGTGGCACCAAACCCTATATATACACTCCCACCATTTCTCCCCAAAATTCAATCACACCACAATCCTAAATCCCAATAATAATAATAAATCTAACATCGGGTATGGACTTCAGCACTGATCAACAGACTCAGTACTACTCCGAGTCATCCTCGTCAGCTGCATCCCCAGTGTCCAACGCCGCGACATCGTCGGAGAACCACGGCCACCAGCTGGCGGCGGAGGTGCCCAAGAAAAGAACCGGAAGGAGGGTTTTCAAGGAGACGCGCCACCCGGTCTACCGGGGCGTGAGGAGCCGGAAAGGCGACAAGTGGGTCTGCGAGGTCCGTGAGCCCGTCACCGGGACACGTGTCTGGCTAGGAACCTACACCAACCCGGAAATGGCGGCCCGGGCTCATGACGTGGCAGCGCTGGCATTCCGCGGGAAGTCGGCCTGTCTCAACTTCGCCGACTCCGCCTGGCGCCTCCCGGTTCCGGCTTCCACCGACCAGATTGACATCCGGCGGGCGGCGGCCGAGGCAGCCGAGATGTTTCGCCCCGGCGCCGAGGCGGCGGCGGTGGATGAGCCGGAGTCTAGTGCAGCAGCTAGTGGTGGGGCTGATCAGAGTGATGGTGACGTGTTCAGTTACGTGGAGGATCTGGAGCCGGTGGAGGAGCTGCCGGAGTTGCTGGCGGAGATGGCGGAAGGGCTGATCCTGTCGCCGCCGCCACCGAGCTACGGAGCCGAAAGCGACGGGTGGAACTACGTGGAGAGGCGCGGTAATGATAATGATGATGGTGCTGATTATGATTGGTCGTTGTGGAATTAGTAGTTGGTTACTGTTGTTGGTTTTCGGTATAGGATATTTTGTGGGATTGCTCTCAAGTGTTAAGCAAGCTGTTTGTGGCCTTATCTGTTCAAGAAAAAAAGTATGTGGCCTTGTCTGTTCAGAGGTTTTGAACCAAGTAGTCAGACAAATAATTGTTTCCAGCATCTTTTTGTTTTTGTTTTTTCCTCTTTTTCAAAATTCTGTCCTATGTTTTGAAGGGGTTGAAATGTATATTTATCGGTTGTTTGTTTACATTTTACCCAGCTGTTTTAAGTTAAGTCCAGTTTTTTTTTTTGTTTTTTTTTGTTACTAAGTTGTGAATGGTGGTAGCCTAATAGTGTAATTTGCAAATTATGTATCAGGGTTTGTTGGTGTGACATAATATTTAGACAGCAAAAAAAAGAAGTAAAAGCAGTGATAAGTGATGACTTAAAATGAAATGAACCCAATTGGCGGGTGTCTTATTGTTATGTCTCTTTGCTTCAAATGTATTGAATATCAAAGATTTGATTTAGGTCAAGATAGATATATATATAGTTGCTTCTGTTTGTAGTTACAGCAAGGGATTTCACCTCTCTTGATTTTCTTGGCTAGTTGTTGTACCTTTTTCTAGATAGTTTTCTTTCTTTTGCTTTCTATTTTCGCTTAATGATTAAACATGTTTGGTTGGGTGTGCACCAGGGCATCTCATTGGGCCGGCTACGAGCTAGCATGGCACGAGCTGGATTCGAGAAGATGGTATTTGACTTGCCTAAAAATTAGGGCTGGCTATTTGGTCACGGACTGTTTGGTTTTACCCAAAACCGGACCGTATAATTCGGACCGGGATCGGACTGGGACCGGATAGCAAACAATGCAATATCATATTCGGGCTTAGATTTGAGATAAAAAAAAACCTGGATAAAGACCGGATAAGAGACCCCCAACACCTAAAATCAAGATAAAATTGGGACCGGACCGGGTTAAGACCGGACTGTATCCAATCCAATCTTTGGTCCTTATATTCCCAAAAAGACCGGACTGGGACCGGATCAATTTGGTCCAATTTAACCGGACCGGACCGTATAGCCACCCCTACTAAAAACTAGGCAGGTCGAAAATGCCTCACTTAGGTCCTAGACAGTGGAAAAAGCACTAAGAATGCTTCGGTAACATCATGCTGCACCTTAACGTACAAGATGATGCTCAGACAAACCGAGACGATTTTGAGGTGGAGATGCTCACATTGCGAATAACTCACACAAATAGCACACTATCATGCAGATCAAGATTCAAAGTAACGTTGCAGGGTTACTTTTTACGTTCTCATCAAGTACCAAAACTACTAAACTAGAGCACAATGGAAACATCTGAAAGGGAAATATTTATGATTTGCCGCAGTGTTTTGGCGAGTTTAGTCCCATATCATATGGATGAGCCCGTACTTGTGCTATGGAGTATGGACTGGAAAGTTGTGAAACTTAGAACAATTAACACAACGCGCAAAATAGTGAACAGGCCGGACCAGTAGAAATGTAAAAGCGGGCCCAAACCATGCTGGGCTAGATTGAGACAGACCTGCGTGACCAGATTCATGCTCCCCCTCTCTGGGCTTTCTTTTTGTATAGCTTCCCCTCGCTCTTATGTAGGGTTGTTAATGAGCCAAATTATTCGCGAACAGCTCGGTTTCGAACTCGATAAAAGTTCGTTCGATTTAATAAAAACTTTATTCATTTATTAACGAACCGAGTTTAAGCGCAACCTTGTTCATCTCGTGAGGCTCGTGAACTAGCTCGATTAGGTGGCTAGTTGAGTTTGACTCATGAACTATCTCATTTTGAGCTCATGAGATGTCTCAACATTGTAACTATCAAGCCAACTTGATTACTGCTTATCAGAAAATCGATCTATATCTTATGAGTTGGTTTATTAATGATGCATATAGTTATTAAATTGTATATCACACCTCGCGATGTTTAATAATTTGAGTATGTGAGCAAATATGTCTCGTACATGACATGAAGATCAGTTAATCATATATATCATATATGACATATATATTAGGGTATTTTATTATCTTAGAGTTGAGCTCGAGCCAAAATTTTGATCTTAATGATGAACCAAGATACAATAATGAGTTGGCTCTTGTTCGGCTCTACTCAATTCCTTCATAAACGAGCCGAGCTCGAGTTTGGTTCGTTTATACATGAACCAAACCTGAACAAGACAAAGCTCGGTTCGACTCGACTCATTAACAACCCTACTTTTAAGTCATTTTGCTATACGACTTTGCTTTCCGTTATGTTTAAGGCTGCAGAGGAAGAGAGTGGAGTTTTTATCTAATTTGAGCTCATCCCGTAAATAAATGAGTCGAAGTTGAGTTTGGTTTGTTTATGAACATTGGCCCATGTTTCACTCGACCTTGATTCATTAATGAACTTAAGAGTTGTAATCGGATTCGGCTCATCATTCAACTCGCTAGACAGGCTTGAACTCGAGTATCGTATTATTTAGTTCATAAACTTTAATTGTTCGTGTCATGTAATTTAATAGTAATTACTATCTAAACAATCTATAACATGGAATTTCTCTTTAAAATTATGAAGGAGACAATTATGCTCATAGTCTTAGACATCACATGTAGTGAGACACACAACAAACCTATAAATTATGAACGACCCAACTCTTACAAGTTGATTCCCTCATAAGTCGCTAATCACATCATTTCTCAAAACAAGCTAGCTCACAAATTCGAACCTAACATTCCACTAAAAAGAGCTAGCTCATTAGTCCTGCGAGTCGAACAAGATTTAGCTCAAGTCAGCAACAAACTGTGTGGAACGAATTTTCTGCTATTCAAACACCACATCGCTCATAAGCAATTTGACTCATTTGACACCCTAACGACACATACTCTTTTCAGTTTTGGCAACTTCTCATGATCTCATCCCCACTTTGCATATCACAAACTGACACCATTTTGTACAGAAAGAAACAGAGTGCCAAGTTTGTGACGTAACTTTCGCGAAAAGGGCCTTTCTAAAATTAGACTTCCATGACTATATGCTCCATCCATTCACTCCAATCATTACAGTCCACATTGAAGTCGAAAAAGGACCACGTAAACCTTATCAAAGACGATGCCAAGGGTCCTAAATCTCTAAACCATCTCTGCTTTGGAATGTTTCAGAAAGTTACACCAACAAATCCCATCACCAAATCTAAATTTGCCACAACACTCTGCTCTCTGCTTCCCTCTGTTCCAATAATAGAGAAAAACAGAGAGAGTAACTGTCCGAGAATACTTACATCAAAATCTACAAGTATAATCAAATGTACGAATCACTATGACAAAATCAAACACAGTTCCCAGCTACAAAAAATCCAATGACTAATAGGAACACTGTTCAATTCGACCAATTCTAAAAAGAATAATCCCAGAGAACCAATTGATCAAAACAGCTCTCCTCTGCTTCCTCTGTATAAGCCGGGGGAGGGATTAGAAGACCTTCCGCCAACCCGGCGATCAACCCGTGAACATCGAATATCTCTTCCTCATCCACAAAGCAACAACTTTCCCTCGTCTCACCACCGTTACAATCTTCGCCCCAATCCAAATCCTGATCGGACCCGGATTCCCAGCTGGGCGTCGCGGGGGCGGCACGGGCACGGAACATCTCCGCCGCCAGAGCAGCCGCCTTCCTGATCTCCCCTGCCTCCGCCGAAACCGGGAGGGGAAGCCTCCACGCCGAATCCGCGAAATTGAGACACGCGGATTTTCCGCGAAGTGCCAGCGCCGCCACGTCATGAGTCCGGGCCGCCATTTCCGGGGTCGGGTAAGTCCCCAGCCAAATCCGGCGCGAGTTGTTGTTGGGATCGCGGAGCTCGCAGACCCACTTGTCGTTGTTCCTCCTCCTCACTCCCCTGTAGACCGGGTGCCGCGTCTCATTGAAAACCCGGCGACCAGCCCGCTTCTTCGGGTAATCCGCCGCCACTCTAACCGCCGCCATCTCGTTACAAAAAAAAAGAGGGGGACTTTCTCGAAATTAAATCTTTCTGGGTTCGTATTGGGGAAGTTCAATTAGCTGTGGGGAAATGAGATGGGTTTGAAGTAAAAGTTATGGTGATGGGTTTCTAAATATAGTATGGGGGAACCGAATTTGAAGTGTCAATTTGGTGGGAAGAGAGAGTACTATACGACATGGACACGGTTGGGACAAGGAGGAGGGAAAGGGAAAGGGAAGCCGTTAATTTATTTATTTAAGTTAAAAAAAGTATGTGTGGATCATGTAAGAAGACTAGTTTCTCTTTTTGGGATGTTTCCATTTGACTGGTTGAGTTTGACGTTTTGGCGGGTCCAGGGGCTGGAAGGACAGCTGCGGGGTGACGTGTTGGACACGTGTTTCGGTGAAGCTATCAAGTATGTCTCGATTAAGAGGAGCATGATGAAAGTGAAGTGACGATCCACGTGTCGTTTTGAGAGATATTTTGTTGGTTTTTAATTATTATAAAATAGTGATTAAGTTTTTTTTGTAGGGCGGGAATGGTTTTTGGAGTTTTGTGGGGAGTTTTTTAACAAATGTTGAGGATGGGAGCTTTGAGGTCCTACTCCTTGCTTGAGAAGTAATCTAACCAACAGAAAAAAGATGAGAGGTTATGGGAGAATGACAACTTTATCATTTTATAAGCTATATATATACATTGTCACAACTCACAAATTTGGACATTTGCACACCCATGTATTATAAACTGTCTACGTGCTAAGTGCATCTAGTCAACTATTCAGCTTCAAGAGAGAAGTGTACGTATCAAGTTCAAAAATTGGAAAATAAAAATAAAAGATCGGAAATAAGGTACATACCTAATCAACTAAGTCACAAAAATAATTTGAAGATTACTCACGATGTTATCATTCCCAATTTCTTCTCTCGTGAAAAAAAAAGAACAAATAGTCAACGACCCCAACAATAGATCAATTAGGAATCGTTCCCAGAAATGTTATATGTAGAATTTGATGATGCGAAATTGTAACAACACATGAGACAACGATTTTACGTGGTAATCTCGATCGATTGATCGAGACTAATCCACGGTGAGCTCATAAGAGCTCACGGCAGATCTCTTATTAGGATTACATCTTGACGGCTTGCTATCACACAAGTCGATAGCTAAGCTTATATAGATAAACTTAGGGTTAAAACCTTAATCCAACGAATCAGACGAGGCCCAACAAGGCCCAATACTGACACGGTTTAAGTAACCGCAACACTCCCCCTCAAGCGAAGACATGAATGACAAGAATGTCGAGCTTGAAGAATTAAATGTGAAGAACAAGCATGATGGCTTGAACCTCAAAACTCGAGATGAATAACATCTCAGACAAGGTTGATTGGAGACGACTGACTCTCTATGAACAACCTGATGATGGAGACGATTGACTGCGTCTCTTGAACTTGAACACACCTGGTACATCGCAGTCGACCTGATGACTGAGTTAGTCGACCGACGTATGTTGCTCTGATACCATGAAGAGTTGATGATGCGGAATTGTAACAACACACGAGACAAGGGGTTTTACGTGGTATCCTTGATCGATTGATTGATCGAGACTAATCCACGGTGAGCCCATAAGAGCTCACGGCAGATCTCTTATTAGGATTACATCTTGATGGTTTGCTATCACACAAGTCGATAGCTAAGCTTATATAGATAAACTTAGGGTTAAAACCCTAATCCAACGAATCAGACGAGGCCCAACAAGGCCCAATACTAACACGGTTTAAGTAACCGCAACATTATATAATCAATTGACTGGCATGAAGCTAACTTAATAATATGATTCTTTGTTCAAATACATAAGTTAATATACTCTTTGGGGAAAGAGTGGGGAATCGACTTAAAAAAGCAAATTACATACTTTCTATTATAGGTATTGTTTGTGCCTCATTGTTTGTATCAGTGTCTCGTCAGCTTGTATCATATTGAGTGGGAGGATTAACGTGATGCATGACATGCAACCTTGGGAAATCGGTGGAGAGATGTATTAAGAAAAAACCGCTAAATAATTATGCTGATTTGACTAATAAACGCATAAAGTTACATACTTCACATAGAAAAAAACAGGACACAGGCCGAAGAGAATCCAGCCTACCAAAGTTACCCTTATTTCAGGACGTGGACACTAACAAATAACAATTAACAAACAAGAAGCACGCGGTGAAAATTACTCAATCGGCGATGTCCCAAATAGTAGGCTCTTCCTGCTGTTGGGCCGCGTATCTGATTTATGTCTCTTCTCTTGGGCCGCAATTCACAGCCCAGCCAAGGCCGCAATATTTCCTTGGACTGGTCTTCATCTAACTCGGACGGTGTAGATACATTTGTGGGGCGCCTAACACGAGATATCTCGATCTCACAAAGCCCACCGGCTTTCATATCTTCAAGAAAACAAATGTACAGGCGACTATGCTTGTAGCGTTATTTGGGCTGCATGCGAGCCCAATTCATCAGATGGGTTAGCCCACACAAGAAATAATGAAAACTACCTTATTTTTCTCCTAACAGACTAGCATTGTAGGAAACCCAATCCGACAACACAAGTTTAATTAGGGGTGGGCAAAGAGAAAAGGATATTTGGGTATATTCATACCCGTCCCTTTTTTAGGGTTACGGGTACCCAAATATCTGTAGTTTTTTTTATGGGATGGGACATGAGATCAAGAAATTCTATAATGGGTACCCACGGATTACTCGTTAACATCCGTTTGGATATTAAAGGTACCCGTACTACCCGTTAACTATTTAGAGATTAATTTAAAATTTTAGTTTCTCATTTAATTTCGATCCCCACAACCCTCGTGATTCTCTTTCCGATCACCCGCATCTCTTTTGGCGGTGCGAAAACGCGGAGGAATGGGGAATAATAATTAATAAAAACCTTTCCACTAATCAGCCAATAATAAGCATAGGTTTGATTTAGTTTTATTAGTTATAAAAGAAACATGTTCCTTACAGCAGGAGGGTAGCAATACGGAATGTGAGCCATTTCTTGTACAATTCCACCGTTTGACAGAATGACCACAGTGAATAACAATTTTGATATGTTTAGTGAATATGGTAAGAAAGAAAATGAGATAATCAATCTATTAACGAACTGATAAGTGACGATTTCTAGACAATATACCTCGCTACGGAGCAGCTTCAGTCGGAAGGAAGAGGCAGCAACCGGAGTGGAGGTGGTGGATGGGCTCATCATACTTAGTTCGTCGAGCACGTGTTCGATCATTTTTATTGTACGGGTATGTACGTGTAGTTTGGGTATCCGTTATCTCTCCTGTACGAGTAACGAATACCCGTTAACTCTTACGGGTTTGAGATATGGAATCGACTTGACTCTCCAAACGGGAGTGGGTATCCGTTTCAAACGGGACGGGTATCCCGTCCCGTCCCGTTGTCATCCCCTTTTAACTGCAAGGATGGTAACAGGTCTGTTGCATGCGAATATTGCATATCATTATCCTACCAAGCATAGTTCGGATTTTACCCGTACAACTCATACAAAATTCGAGGAATATTCACAGATATGATTTTACCCGTATGCATAGACATTTTAGTACATACTCCAAATATAAGTGTACAATAGGGTGAAAATAATTAGGGCAAATACAATATAATATCCATAACTATTATGGATCGGGGATTTATATCCTCAACTATCAATATACAAATTAATATCCAATTGTTAATTGTTCGTTAATACCCGTTAGTAGGTCTTTCTGCAATGCTGACCTGGCAAAAAAAACTGAGGTGGAATTGAGAACTTGGCATCCCTGTGGAATTGATTAAGTTAATAGTAACATAAAACGTAAAAAATAAAACAAATATTACCCCTCTCCTCCTCTCACATCCATTCACCCAATTCTTATCCTCAACCCCTTCTTCTCTCATCTGTCCATCTCCCCCTTCGTCTGCAAAGACACGAAGTCGCCGACGAGGATCCACTCACCGTCCTGCAGGCGTGGCGGCGAGACTGCCATTGCCTGAGTCGCCCCTACCTAAATTCCAATCCCTTTTCTTTCACCCATCGGAAGTAACGAAACAAACCCTCATCGTCAATCCAAATCCCCAATCTTTTATCCAGGTCTGGAGAGCTCATCGTCGACAAGAAGCCACCACGGCCTCGGAGTACGCACCGGGGACTCCCCGGTATGCGACTCGGAGCTGCGCTCTGTGCATCGGAGCTGGAGCGAGGTCGGTGATAGTCAACGCCTTCTGCAGTCGACGGCAGTCGCAGTACCGTAGGTCGGGACCAAATCCAGGTCAATAGTCTTGTGACCGTTGACCGAATCTATGAAATCGAGTCCATTTTCTCTTCCAGATCTAGGCTGCTCCTGAGTGGCGACTTTGATGGAGAGGATGGCGCATGAGCTCTGCCAGTCGGATCTGCTGCGGACGACGCCAGCGGGGCAGTTGACGGAGTCGTAGGAGCGGTCGATGCAGTGGACGACGAGTGGTGTTGCCACGGCAGAGGGACGACTAGTCCCGATTAACGAGGAGTTGAGAGACGACAGAGGCTGGATAGGGCGGAGGAAGCTAGGTGACGGTGGAGGAAGATAGGGGAAGAAGAAGAGGGAGACAGGGGAGGGTGGAGGAAGCCAGGGGACGGTGGAGGAAGATAGGGGAAGAAGAAGAAGAGGGAGACAGGGGAGGGCGGAGGAAGCAAAGTGACGGTGGAGGAAGATAGGGGGAAAAAGAGGGGAGAGTGGTTGAGTTTGTTTTTCAACTTTAATTTTTTAATTTTTTTAATTTAAAAATAAAAATTATATATTTAATTATTTGCTGATGTGGACGCCAATATGGATGCTGACATGGCAGTCTCCGTTACAAATTTAACGGTGGTAACAGACTGTTAGCCATATCTTTACCCGCAACTATAGTTATGGATATTAATTTGTATATTAATAGTTGAGGATATAAATCCCCGAGCCATAATAGTTATGGATATTATATTGTATTTGCCCAAATAATTATATTGGACTTTCGGTCCTATTCTTTACATATAGACCCCCTAAATTAGTTTAGGAATATTGATGGATAGAACCGTTATTGTGAACAAATTCAGTTTAATAATTCAAACCATAGAAAAATTTTAACGAATGAAATTTATACCTTACATTTATATATTTCCACCCCATGAAACCAACATTCACTTATTAGAGCGATAAAAAATTCTCTTATTAGCTATAGTTCGTGTTTAAAATTGAATTGAATCATAACATTGAGGTTATTCGTATTCGAAAACACTACCTTTTGACAATCAGAGACCCTAATATCTTCTTAAAAACCAAATCAATGTGTGTCAGTAATTGAAGCTACTGGGAAGGATCCAATCCAATAATACATTTGCTACCATCCTTCGTAACAAAATAGTAGAAGATATCAACTTGGATCTTTCATAAAAATTTGAGTTATTGAGATGTACTCATCACCAACAAGTTGTTGATTTAGATAATGAGTTCATAATAACATTGTTTTGGTTCACTGTTATAGTAAAATCGTCCCCAAAGTTACTACACTAAATCACTAACGAATTTCGATGTGATCCGATAGTTTTACACTAAAGATTAAAATCAAAGTAAAATATATATAATATTGAAAACAAT